ATCCATCATCCATCCATCCATCCATCCATCCATCCATCCATCCATCCATCCATCCATCCATCCATCCATCCATCCATCCATCCATATATACATACTGTTTTAGGGTCGTGGGAGGCAGGTGTCTAGCTCCTTCAACGGACGGGAGACCTTAAACAGGTAACTGTCTAAAAATAAACATAAAACAATAGAAAAACAAGCAGATACATGAAACACTGCAAGGTGAAGACAAGGAATGCAATAAAATCACCATATTAAACATGTCTTGTAAGTGCATGTACTGCTTTTATGCCTTGTGGAAAGTATTTTCCTGTTGAGCTAAATTCATATAAGGTAAGATCCCCCCAGCAAGCTTTAACAATGCCTTGCTCAGAGGGAATTGAGCTTTTCCATTGGAAGTAGACTAGAAAGACTAGAAAGAGGAGAAAGAGGTGTCTTGTTAGAGACTGCTGTCCCCAGGAAGATGACAAGCACTATGAATGGGTTTAGAATTAGAAGATTTAGAATAGTTTCTTTTGGCTTGTCATAAAAATCTTTTTTATCTACTTGAGCTGCATGACTGTGTAGTTATGCAAAATATGTATTATATTAACATTCAATTCCACATTTAGAAAATAATTGTAGTTAATGGTTGCTGTAAATAAGTGCTGTTAATTAAATACAAACATCACGTATTGCATAAAGAAATGCTCAAACACATAAAACTCATCACTATAAATGGGTGAAAGTAGCTGCTGGGAAGCTCTGTAATAATAAACTCCAGAAAACACGTTAAGAGTTCAGCACAAGATCGCTGTTGTGACTGAATGATCACTTCTCGACTCATGACGAAAACCTCCTGCTGTCAGCCAAAAATTCTTCAGTATGTTGGCCAATCAGCATTGAGCAGTCAACTGCACGACCCGCCCCTTCTCCATGGAACCTCTAAAAGGTTTAACCTCACTTGAAGCTGTGCTATCCAATCAAGGCTCTACTTTCTCACTGCTTAGTTCAACAGGCCGAGTTCACACCTCAGCAGGGATTGCTTATAGGCAGAGTCCTGCTGCTCTAGAGCGGAGGGGAGATTGCAGAATAAACAACTGATTAATGTGCAACATACTCGTGAAATCAGAGGCATTTTAGGGCTCATTTAATGCAGTTTAATGGCTACATTTATGAAGTTTGACAAAGCATATTTGACCAATAATTGTAATAAATTTACTGGGGAGGTTTAGCCTTCCTGGTATTCAATGAGAATTTCACACTGCTGTAAAATCAGTAAAAAAAAAAATGCATTTTTTAAAATGATCAATGGTCATATGATTTATTTTTAGAACATATTCAGAATTTATAAAAATGAAATTTTTGAATATGACTGCAAACATTTTTTTTTTTTTTTACGGTATTAGTGGCTTGTTTTATGTACAGTAGGCCGAGAGGAAAGGGGGGATGAGAGACATGCAGGAAAATAGCACAGACCGGATTCTAACCCGGGTCGCCCGCGTTGAGGATAAAAACCTCCATACATGGGTCATATGCGCTAACCACTGCGCCACCAAATTACGCCCCCTCTTGCTTTTTTTGAATATGTCTTATGTCTGTGTGAACCTATATAATTCTCCAGGTGACAGACTGGTTTCTGACTCAGGATTAAACACTATCTGAATGAATCAAACCTTGGTTTTAACAGCAGCACCACCACGATTTCACTACCTCCCAGAACAGCATTTTCACTCTTCCCCATAATAACAAACAGATAAAAAAAAAAAAATCTTAATTGACTGGTTTTATGATCCTACAATGAAAATGATGCTTATGACTCACTGAAAATGTTTTCAGTTTGAAATCAAAGCCATATAAATGTTAAATAGCTTTCCTCCGTCTTTAACTCTTATCCTTAACACATCCAACCGGGATGTCATCAACTCATCTTTTTTAAAGCATTCCCAAAATAATTTGGTCATGTGTAAACAGATCTGTTTTTACAGAATGATGAATTACTTCCATCAGAAGAAATATGACTTTGCAAAGTTTATGCTATGTACTAACAATAAAATAATAATAATAATAATAATAATAAATCTTTAAATACTTTAAATTTATTTGATTATTTACCTCCACGTAGATTGTCAGGAGCTGCCTGTAGTCCTCTTAAGGGGCTGATAATGAAAGCAAACTGGCACTAAATCTCAGTTGCTCCCTCACCTTTATATATAGAGCACCTTAAACAGAAATATCTTTGGCATCTGAGGTATCCGTGCTTCTGAAAACGAAAAGAGATGAACCTTTCTTCTGTGGTTGGAACAGGAATATCCAGTTTGAGCTCCAACACAAAGGCGCTAGATGATGATTACTGGAACTGAATAAAAAAATGTCCACATTAGATAATGGTAACACACGGTATGGATTTTACATTAATATGTCCAGAGATAATTGTTAGTGCCGAAAATGTCAATCATTGTACTGAGGTTCATTGTGTTTAATTCATTTCTAAGTAGCTTTATTTGTGTTTTTCTTTAAGTTTCCTCTAGTGGTTATGCTTGGAAGACTCTGAAAAGTGCTGCGTCACTGTCAGGAACAGAGATTGTGAAACAAAGCATTACTTTTAGTTTCATAGTGTTTTGGCTGTTTTATCTGAGGAACAGCATCACAGAGTTGTTTTTATGCTTCTTAAAGACTTAAAAAAACAAGAATCTCTAAGTTTCATCCATCGGCTTGCGCTCACAGCAGATCTCAGCAGTTGCATCCTCACTCTGCCCTCAGGTTATCTACCTCCATCCATATTCCTGACTCTACAACCCATATTTGTGCTACCCTTTTTCAGCTAACTCAAGATCCGGTCTTCATCGCTGAATCATGAATCCACTCCACTAGGTTCTTGCTTGGAAAACACCTTTGGCACATCCTGTCTCAGTCTGGCATTCCACCCAGACACTATTCTGGCCATTAATTCTGCATAGGAGCTGCCACTACAGCTTCCAGCCAAAAGATCTCAGAACAAACTATCTGTATTATTGGTCACTGATCGTCTTAATTCCGTTCTATTCACTTTATTTCTATAGCTCCAATTCACATCATGTCATCTCAAGGCACTTTCCAGATCATCCAGTCAGGTTGATTCAAAGTTTTCTATCTAG